TTGCCCTGCCTCTTCAAAATATTACAGCTTGAGGGTTGAACTTGTGTTTTGATTCTTTTAGCTTGAGAATTGCCAAGAGAGATCTTTCCTTTTTTATTCTCTAAATCTAAGTTTCTGCAGTTTCTACACATTGCATTATAATATTTTGATTTCTTGAGAAACCCTTTGAAATCTTCTGTTCAGTACATCAATATATCTTGCATTTGTTTTGGCTTCTTTATTCTCTAGTACAATTATCAAGATATCTTCTGACATTCATTTCTTTTTCTTCCTCCTTTGTCATTTTGCTTTCTTTATCATTGATATCCTTGATGCCATCTACTCTTCAGTCATGGGTGTTCAATGTCAAGCCTATTCTGAAGGTGATTTTTAAATTCAGAAGGAATAGACTCAAGATCATATTTTAGTTCTCATGGACTTCTTTTCATTTTCTTCAGCTTCAATTTGAACTTGCACATGAGTAATTGATTATCTATACCACAGTCTGCACATAGCCTTGTTTTGACTGCTGATATTGAGCTGCTCCAATGATTCCTTCCAAAAATGTAGAGTCTGATTCCGCCTAGATTGGAAAAGAAGATATTATCAACATCAGTTCTTTTCAATGTCTCCAGTATCATTTGTTTTCTCTGTCAATATACTGTTTCAGCCATTTATAGATGATCTTCAACAAGATTTTACTTGCCAGATTGCTCCTTGGATGCAAGGATTTTGAAGCTCCATCTAACATACTTTGGGTACATTTCCAAGAAAGACCAGTCCTTTCACAAGGACATCAAGCTTAGAAGGGTGGAGGAGAGGAAAACCCTAAGTGAGATAGCTTGACACAGTGATTGTGGAAACGAAGACATGTGTGTCAGAGACTGTGAGATTGGCTCAGGATAGGGCAGTGTTCCGAGCTGTTGTTCATAGGCTCACTGTGAGATGTAGATAACTCGACAGCACATAACAGCAACAACAACACAATATTGTTTGATAATTTCCATATTCTGTTGGCTTTCTTTGGAATGGGAACCTGTGCTGATCTCTTCCAGTCAGTTGACTAGGTATCTGTCTTCCTTATTTTTGGCGTAGACTGGTGAGCTCATCTAAGTCTACATCTCCTTGTTGAAAACACTTTAATTGGTATCACATCAATTCCTGGTGCTTTTAATTATTTTTTTCCAATGCCTCAAGTGCAGTTTGAACTTCTGCCTTCATCACCATTGGTTCCTGATCACGTGCTATATCTTGAACTGTTTCTGTTAGTCTTTTCTGGTGCAATGACTTAGTGCATTTATTTCATCTTCTTTGTTCACAGTTTTGTCTGCAGCATCCTTCTGTATAACGACTCATGGTTTGAAATTGTGTTTTTGATTCTTTCAGCTTGAGGAATGCTGAACTAATTCTTTCCTTTACTCAGTGTAAATACGAAGCAAAGATAACATCAGTCACCTGGTGGATCATAAAATGAGTAATAATGCCAAAGAAATTACTATATAAAAGTGTGACTTTCAGTGACACCATTCACTCCCATCTTAGTCATTTATGAATGAGTGCTAGACAGGGGACTGTCAAGCTCTGCAAAGATTCAGGGCAACCTACATCAGATGGGTAGTTACAGTCAGAACTTCAGGGACTGTATTCTGTCCTACAGAATCCAAGTAAGAAGAGATGTGCTGATCTGGAAATCTTTTTAATAGTCATGTGTATTAGAAGGGAACACCAGAGTGTATAGATTTCTGTTCCCATTTAGCAAGTCAACAAGTGTGTAGCATAAATCTCTTCTAGTCACGAGGATACACCTACTACTTCAGCAGCAGTCCTTAATCACAAAGTAATTAAGAGTGAAAAGTTGCCCCCAGTCTTCCCATGCATGGTGGAAGCCGTGCGTACCATTTAGATTCACTCTCCAGGATCTATAACCTTTATAAATAAAATGCCATTAGTAAGTGCAAGTTGTCTGTCTATCTTAAGGATCACCCTTCGATTGTGTGTGATTACCAATTAGTTAAGCTCCATCCTATAGAATATGTGTTGGCGTATTAAGTAACTATTTTTCTGGCATATATTTATTGTTCAACTAGTTAAAATAAGTCCTTATGATCCTTGCTCATCGTGTGTGTGTGTGTGTGTGTGTAGCGTTGACAATACATAAGGTCTGCATTTTTAAAAGATATTCTAGGCCTTAGTACTTGGACACATTTCTTAATATATGTGTGTATTTAGAGTTTGAATACTCAACAATTTTTTTGGATTTTTTTTCAGACATTGCCCTGGGACCTTTGGACGGTAAGGACATTATATACATTTTCATGTTTCTAGGTCTTTAGAAATGTAATAACCCTTGTTTGATCTTTAATGATAAAGTAGTTCTTTAGAAAAACCTTCTGGCTCCTGCAAATTCCCAGCCTTTGAGAATATTGTTACAAACAGGAACAATGAAGAGAGCTAATGGAGTAGATTTCTGCATGGTCACTTAGTGTTGTGGCCCTTTACACTTGTTGCCTGGTGGCTACCAGAAGTATTTGCACTGAAGACCATTTGCATATGTTCTTTTTATGAAAATGGGGAAGTAAACAGTATAAAGATGAACAGCCGTGCGCATAAAACAGTTTTTTCATTACTCATAATAACTTTCATTAATTAGACGTTAAGCCTTACAGCTTGGCAGTCCTGGATTTGTAACCTCGTCTTTGAGCAATTTCAAAACTTCTCTAGGCTTTGAATTTTATCTAAAAAAAAAAATAAATGAGATGACATCTATCTCGTAGGGTTGATTGAGAATTAAAGTAATATTTGTAAAGCAGCATGATGTATCAAAAAGAAAGGTGTTATTAATGTTATTTATTCAGCTAATTTCTTATGCAAGTTGAATACTTCTAGCATTTAGGTTTGAGGAAGAAATAGAAATAGCTTGGTGGCATATGAAATTAGGAGATGGCCCACAGGGGCCTTGGAGCCAGATCTTTGACTGCAGTTTTAAAAAAGACCTGATTTGTGGCCTTTGAGGACTCAACTTGTGCGATCTTTTCTTTTTCCTTAGTGGTATACAACAGGAAAGCTTAGTATCTAGTTATTCATGAACCTGGGTTTTAGAAGTATCATTGCTACTCTCTCCCCTTAAAACAGAAAAGTAAATGGTCCCCTTCCCTTCATGGGAATAAGTTTATATTTTACTATTAGTATCCTGGGAACATCAAGAAAAGCGCTCAGTTTGGTTGACAAAGTCTGTGACTATGTGATATTGTTTATAGTAAGTTGTATTTACCTTTATATTCACAAAAGATATGTGTAGGCCATTATTCAGCTTTAATGCTACAATTTCTTGGAGATTACGGGAATGATGCTAATATCCATTGTTATTGTTGTTGCTAAGTGCCATCCAGTTGGAACCAACCCGTAGCTGATCCACTAGTGGCTTTTTCAAGGCTGTAAATCTCACTGGGGAAGATTGCCCATCCTTCTCCTACAGAGCGGCCAGTGGATTTGAACCAATGCACCCTTGGGATGGCAGTACAGATCCTTATCACCAGGCCACCAGAGCTCCCTTTTACCTTTAATATTTAATATTTTTTCCTTTCCTAACTGTGGAATGGTAGTGAGGGTAACATCATCATTTAAGAGACCTTAGACTGTTTTTAAGGACAGACTTGCTAGGGCTGTTTATAGTAACATGATTGCAAATGATGGCTCTCTGAAGATAATCATTCACAGTTCTTAATCCTCTCATTTTACCAGTATTTTTTTCCTGTGTGCAGAAAATAGCCTCTGGGTTGGGGGTAAACCACCAGGGTCACCTCTAGGCAGTAAGAGTTTTCAGTCAGGTGATTCTCCCTCCAAACTCTTGCTTCAAGGACAGAAGCAAGCGGAAAAGGAGTCCTGTGAAGAATTTATTCAGACTTTGTATCAGAGTGTATACTGTGTAATTTTGTGATTGTCTGATGCTCTTAGACTTATTTAAACCACTTTGCATTTAAGTTTGCTAAAGAAAACTTATATACTAACCATAAGATATCCTTGCTGGTGCTGGCAAATGACAGAGGGTTTTCTCTGTGCTTCATTTGTTCCTGTTCCACAAGAGTCTTGAACAGTGTTGATACAAATGTGTTCCTATTACAGAATGAGTTCTTGGGCTCTACATTTAGTCCTAAATTAGTAAAAGCTCAACCTTCAGCAGAATGTTCACGCTGGATGGCAAGGGATTTTAATGTGCTGGTTCATTTTTCTCTCTTTTATTTTTTCTTTCTTTTTATTAAACCCTACAGACAAGCACTGATTTGGTACAACCGGTAGGTAAATTTCCAGAAAATTCTGGATTGTTTTTGTAGTTAATGTTTCTTGTATACTTGATACATTATCTAGAATAAGCTGTTTCTCATAGCATTGCTCATTATAGACTTAACCTTAAGCCACTTAATTTGCGCACTTTCTAATTTTTTACTAGAGCTGTCCTGCTAAAGAGTTTTATGTTTCTCATACAGTCTTACCATGATCTGTTTCATCTTATGTTTGTTTTTATTTTTTTTTCCTTTGCTCTTCTGCATACTCTAAAGACTGACTCTTCAAAAAGTCTTTCCCTGTGTAACCTGATCATGGAGGAAACTCCAGACAGTGGGTTGGCCGAAGAAATTCAAAGATCTCAAATTCACCTAGCTCCACTTACTTGGGGCCCTGATGCTAGCGCAGACAGTGTCAGCCAGGAAATGACCCCACATGGCTCTCAGGAAGATGCAACGTGTCTCTCGGAAGTAGATCCAAGCGTGGGCTTGTCCATTGGAGACCTCTCTTCCGCTAACTGGCCCGCTGAGGCTGAGCAGGGGGAGTGTGTTTCAGGGCCAGCCCCTCCAGGAGGACCTCAGCAGCTGCCTCCAAAGCTCGAGTCTGACGCTGGATTTGCCACAGATGCTTGTGTGGAGTTGGAGCAGCTGCCTGAGCCTTTACTTGGCTCAGAGATGTCAAGAGAAACCAGTGGCCCAGAGAAAGAAAAAGAGGAAGAAGTGCCAAAGGGAGACAGAGAGGAAGAGAAACAGAAGAGAGAAGATTCTGTGTGGGCAGGTGTGGAGACATGTGAAAAGGTAGACATTACAAGGATTGATGCCATGGCCTTAGAAAGGACAGAGGAATTGGAGGAGGAAGCTTATGGAAGTAGAGAAAAGAGGGCCATAGATCTTCTTGAGACAATAGAAAAGCAAGACCAAAGGACTTTAAAAATAATGGAAAATAGCAGAGGCCAAGGTCTAGACAGTGGGCTTCCAGTAGTAATAAAGAATTGTGAAATGACAGAGGACTCTGGAGCTGAACCTGTCAGTCACACAGATACCTTGAATCAGCCTCCCCAGTCTGACTCTGTCCCTGATATTGAAAATGTCGGCCCTGAGGGACGGGCTTTAGATAGAAAAGATATAAAGGAAAATTTAATAGCCCCTTCTAACCATGATACAGCACACATCACAGCACGGTGCAGTGTGGATGCTGAGGGAATTCAGCGTGAGGCTGCATTACCAGCTCCTACAGGTGGCAGGGAGGAAAAGCAGGCTGTTGTTTTATCAACAAGATGTGAAGTGGCAGCTCAGTCTGAGATCGACCTTAATTCTTCCCTTGAAACTAATGTGAACAGACGAGATTGGTGTCTGTCTAAGTCCGAAGACACATTAATAGAGTGGTCAGAAGGTACAGAGGCTGAAACCTATAGTCAGACCAGTACATGGCCAGGAATGGCAGAGACAGACTTTTGGGGAACAAATCCAGGTCAAATCTGGCAGCAAAGCTTGGACTCAGCAGTGAATAATAAAGATATATTTAGATTTTCTGGTCTACCAGACGGCCAAACAAGTGGATTTGCCAGTTGCCCAGATACTATTAACCACTGGCCCATTACAGAGACAGGAAATTTAAATAGCTACAGGGAGCAATTAGACCTAGTGGAAATCCAGGAAGAGCTGGAGGTGGGCTTAATATCAGTTGTGCATGGGAAACAAGCCACTGCTGACTGCTGGGAACAGAGTGGAGAGATAGCTAGGCAGCTGGTTCAGGGGAGTTTGTGCAGCAGTACTAGTCCTGAGAATCCCTCTAGTCCCAGAGACAATGACACCAACAACTCAGATTTGTCTGAAGATGAAATTGCTAACCAGAGATATGGATTGTTGTACCAAGAAATAGAGACGCATAAAGAAGAGGTACTTACCCCAGTCCGTAGCGTAGATTAGCCAGACTGTGTAGGTTCTGTTTTTCCTAATGTCTCTCACATACTCTCACACTTCATTCTCCATGACCTATTTTCTCGGAGGCCTGCCTGATCCCCTTAGGAATGGCATGTACCTCTTGAGATTTGTGCAAACCTAAAACAAATAGATTGACCAAAAAAAAAAAAGGAATGATTATGAGAATATTTTACCCTGTTATTGTTGAATTGATTCTTCCTGCTTTCATTTTTTACAGTTCAGACAATAAAAATATACTTAACCAAGAGCAGGACAGAATACTTTACTGTTCTTCTAGATGTTCCACTCCAGACATCCACACAAACCCCATGAAATGTTTCTGTGAGACTCACTCGACCCGTGGCATCGTACTTTTACTGTGCTGCTTTGTAATGATGTAAAGTAGAAACACTGGGAAAGCTTCTGGGTTCTCTCATGAGCCTGAGGGAAAAAGACCTATTGGAACCACTCATGACTGTTCTCTAGCATCGTCATCGTGTTCTTTACAAAGTGGGCTTTGGATTGCCCTGAACCGTAGAACAGCAATAATTAATTGTAAAATAATCTTCCTTTTTTTTCCTTCACCCTTGGTCAGCCTATTTCTAATAATACAGTGACTTTTTGCCTTTCCTAAGCCCGTCTGCTTGTGGCAACTTTTGTATTATTTTAAATGTGTGGTGATCTCTACTTTCTAACTTGTCTAATGGACATTTACTTACTATATAAAAGTGATTGGGGGGGGGGAAATAACACACTCTGATTGATTTCCATTTTTGTTTAGGCCTCTGGTGGTTCATTTAATGGATTTACTCAGGTAAGAAGTCAATTTTCTGGCAAGGATCCTATGCTGAGAATGATGGAATTAAAAAGAAAACAAACACAAAAAACAAGTATGGCTCACTGGTGTGGCATAATAAGTAAGATATAGCAAACATCTTGACCCCATGACTAAAAGATTGTGTAATGGAGTCCATACTGGTATTCTAGGGTTATTGTGAAGATTAAATGAGATGATATATGTAGAGCCCTTTAGCTCAGTGCCCTAGCATAAGCTGTATACTCTGTGGCTGTGTTGTTGTTATGTACTGTGGATTTTTCCCAAAAATATTTGTTTTATATTTTCATTTTTCATAATATTTATTTTGTTTTTCATTGTTGAACATTTTCTTCCCCTCCCCAATCTACCCCGCAATGCACCCCTTGTTCTATATTGTTCTCATACATACAATGCATAATCATATATTACTTTCAGACAGTTTTTCCCCTCTTCTGATCTAATGCAATGTTCGTTATCTATCCACTCTTTTTGTTTTCTCTCCTCAGTCCCCTTACTCCTATCTCTATCCTATTTTATAACAGTAATGTTATGCATTGATTATCTGTTTGTGACTGAGATGTTTCACTCAGCATTATGTCCTCCGGCTCCCCCACGTTGTGTAATGTTTTACAAGTCCATTGTTTTCCAGTGCTGTGTAATATTGCATTATGTGAATGCACCATAGTTTTTCTATGCATTCGTTTACTGATGGGCAGTTGAGCCGCTTGCATCTCTTTGCTTTTGTGAGTAATACAGCAATAAACATGGGTGTGCATACTTCTCTTTGAGACTTGGCTCTAGTTTCTTTAGGGTATATTCCCAGTAGTGGAATTTCTGGGTCAAATGCTATTTCTATTTACAACGGTTTGAGAAAGAATCTGGCCACTTTCCATAGTGGCCGTACCATTTTACATTCCCACCAGCAGTGAGTAAGAGTTTCAGTCTCTCCACAACCTCACCAACATTTGTTGTTTTTGCTATCCTGTTGAACTTTACCGTTGTTGTTGGATATTGCATACTCTTCAATCAACTATGAGTTATAGCTACCCTGTGAACAACGGAACTCAGTCTTGCCCTCTCCTTGCTGTCCTCATGATTTCTTACATCCTGTACCATATTGTTATAATCACTGTATAAGCCCATCTTGTTGAAGGTCTTCTTTTTCCTAATATTTCCCAACATGATATCTTTTGTCAAGGACTAGCCTCCTCTGACAAGATGCCCAAAATATGTGAGAGAAAATGTCATCGTCCTTGCCTCAAAGGAGCACTTGCTTTGTACTTCCTCTGGGACAGACTTTTTGTACTCTGTAGAGTGTGCAATATTGTCTAACACCCAAATAAAAGGCATTGATTCTTCTTTGGTCATCCTCATTCATTGTCCATGACTAGTAAAACCAGTCCTACTAGTAGTTAGCTACTAGTGGAAGTCTTTGACCACAACGTGGGTTTCTACCCATTTTCTTTTTAACAAATTAGCTAGAAGATTAAGTAATTTTTGATCTTCTATTTTCTGCCCAATTTTCAGCCCCAGGATACATCATTATTCACAATACAGACAGACCAGAGTATTATCTCCAACCTGGTAAGTGGATTTTGATGTGGTCTTAATATTTGGGGTTCTTCTTAACTGCCACTGCATGTTCCAAAGTAAGTTGATAACTCAAGATTATCTGGAACTTGAGCATCCAGGATGCTGTTTTTCTAGCTGCTGCTTCTTTAGAAAACAGAGTGAAAGCTTCTGTGATATCTACCTTATGTTGCTTTTGTTTATAAAGAGATAGTTACTTGAAAAACCCAAGGCTTCTCAACACAGTGAAATATAGTTAATGGAATACAGTTAGCCCACTAAGTGTATGGACATTTCAATGTTATTATTAATGTACTCAGCTGATAACTAAAACAACAGTTGTTTGAGTTCATCCAAAGTGAGGAGCAAAAATTAACAGGTAAATTGAGTGAAGAGAAAAGTGAAATACAGTAAGGATTGGATAAAAAAGAAAAAAGAAAATCATTGCTGTGCCATTGGAATCAACTCATATCTGACCTTCTAGCAGGTTGTCAGAGCAAAAGACATGAGAAGAGATTGCCCATCTCTCTTAGGCATTGTTATTAATTACATGAATCTATATTAGTTAATGTTAAGAAACAGAAGTCATGAATAACTGAATGAAAATGCAATATGTTTTTAAACTGTCACACAAATAAAAGAATAAAACACCTTGGAAAAAACTTTGTAGGTTTATTTTTGTTTGTTTTGTTTTGTTTTCTCTCAAGATTCAAAAAAATCAACCACCCCTATAGAGCATCATTCTCCATGAACTGGAATTTATTCCAGGCAACTGGTTTATAATTTAAGATCCAGGATTAAAAATAAAGTTGCCTCAAAGAATTCATGCTTCAAAAATAAATCCTTGCTTTTTCTTGACTCTGAAACTACCTCATCTCTCATCTCGTCCCTTTGTGTGTGTGTGTGTGTGTGTGTGTGTGTGTGTGTGTGAATGAATGAAACAACTGATATTTAATAGAGACGTTAAGCCAAACCGCTTGCCATTGAGTCACGTTTGACTCAGTAGGGCCCCTGTGTTTCCTAATAAACCTGCTCTGTTGAGTTTTCATTGGATGTGATCTTTCAGTATTCACTCACCAGCATTTTCTTCCACAGTTTGTCTGCATAGATTCAAGCTGTCAGTCTTTCAGTTAAAAGTTTGTGCCAGCCAGGGACTCCCGTAGCAACAGTAGCTGAGTATAAAACAATACATGTGATGCCTACTTATCTAGAGGATGCTTAGGAAGCTAAGTTACTCTTAGGGTTAGAAGATATTTAAGATCTATGTGGTTATCATGGGGAATTTTTTAGCACCAGTTTCCTTGTGAACTTGAATTAAGAGACCTTAAGCAAAGTCACTTGTTACATTTTTATTGATGCACCATGAGGATTCTGGTCCTTTAAGGGTTATTTCACGAGAGTTATTTATAGCTCACTGGTTTTCCCATGAGGATAGTGTATGATTATCCCTGCTCCTGACTTTCACATCAGAAAATGATTTGTCTTTGCCTCAGGGACAGATGGGACTTGAGTTTAAATGGATGGAATTTTTCTTTTTAGATTGTTTCCTTTCTAAGTCAAGAATTATGTTTGTGGAAGTTTTCCCTTCACGGTTAATTTTTACTTTTTTTTTCTCCAAAAAAACAAATGTATCTCTGATACCTTCACAAGAGAGATTTTTATGCCTTTTGTTTTTGGGTAGTGATGTTAAAGGTAAAGTCTGTATTCACCTTCAAATGAAGACTTAAATGGAGAAAGTACACGTTTTATTAGTGTTAATAATATCATAAGAGAGATTCCCTTTTCATGTTCTTGTGTAGACATAAGTTATGCTTGGTGCTGGAAGATAATTGTCAGTTGTGAATAGACTGAGAAAAATGTGTATAAGAAAAACACAACTGGGGGATTGTATACCAATGAAAGAGTTTTACTTTTGCTTTTAAAGAAGAGGGAATTGGGTGTGGGGGTGGGGTGGGAGGGGAGAAAAGTGCAACAATGAATGAATGGAAATCCACAATCTCTGTAAATGTTCATTGAAATTAATAAAAAAAGAAAAGAAAAACACAACTCATCAGAATTAACTAAACAATTACCCGCCATATTGAAGCTAAGCATCCAGGCATAGGATTTAGTGATTTTTAAATTCTGAGCATTTCACCTCACCTACAACTGTTTATAAAAGCTACTTTGCTTGCCTGCCCATACTCTTACTTTGTGTTCTCTAAAACAGACACTTTGTACCATTTTCCAATTTGAAACCTTAGCTTTATTATTGCAAGTTCTGCCAATGGTGGTAGTGACCTAAGAGGAACCAGGGAATCATCACAAAAATATGCACCTGTCGGTGAGTTGAGATGATAGCGGACATTCTCAGTAATAAGAAGCCTTTCAGCATCTAGCTCGTTCGTTAACTGCTCCGAGCAGAGGGGATTGAAGTCAGTGATCAGCTATACTGACCTCCTTGGCTTTATCTTGTGGCTCCAGAAGACATTTCTTGAGGAAAAGTTAAGAACCTTTGAATATGAGAAACCTTGCCCAGGCCTCAGTTGTCATTGTTACGAAGTTCTTCCAGGCCTGGCGAAGCTGGACTATAGTGCAAATGTCATGTTGGAGTGTTACCAGACCCTTACACTTGTTCCCTCTACTCCTTTTCTCTTCCTCTGCATTGACCTACCCTCACCATGTCAATGGGAACACCAGAAAATGTGCTAGATAGTTGTAATACTCCTTGTATGATCTAAAGGAAGAATTCAGTTTCTGACTCACAGAGTCACTGTTGCAGGATCCTTTTGCCACCAAAATCTTAAATTCTTCTCCTGTGGTTATGTGGTAGTTCCTCAAACAAACAATAGAATACTGTTACTTACACTCCAGAGTATGATATGTTATAAATCCATCTGCAACACCCATCATGGGACTTACTGGTGAGAAAAAAAAATGAAGCAGGGCAAAATTCAGGGCTTTATTTTAGACTTCTCCATGAGGTGGTATGCACAGGCCATTTTTCTTTACCTTTTCTGCTGTGTCTTGACAAAATGTTTACAATTTTACATTATCTCCAAAGGCATAGAAGGATTGCTTCCATTTATACATTAGAGTCCCTCATTTTATGGACAGTCATGCTGTATCATGGCTCATCCTTACTCCTCATTCCTCAGCTTGGTCTTCTGGAATTGACATCAGTTAGTTGGAATACTACATTGGAATATTAAGTATGATGAGGTAACATGTAGGGAGAGACTCAGTAGTATTTTTCACATGGCAATGAAAGTTTTAAATGTCCAACAAGGAAATTCAGGTGTACTAAGTTTTTAAAACACTTTGAGTACTCTTACCTCACATACAACTTCAGAATTTCTTCAAAACTTTCAGGAAACACAGACTCTAATACAAATATGTTGTCATTTAAGTTATCTGTGGGGTTTTTTAATGTACAACAAAAGCTTTTATGTAGGTTTTCACTTCTCATACATCTTCAACTTTTTGCACAGTGTAGATGTAGCTTACTGAGGCCAATTTCTTTGGGCATTTTTTAATTAGTCTTCATGTCCTCCTCTGTATAAGCCAGTTACTAGCAGGATCTCATAGGATCACCCTGAATTACCCAAATGGTATCAGCAGACCAGAAGAGCTGATAGGAATTCTTGTTTAGTCATCAAGATTGGTCTTTTTGAACAATAAAAGTGAAGCCTTCTCCCTGAAAGTACCCATGAAGTCATATTCGAGTGGGAATTATTGCATTCTTTCTTTTAAACCTATCCGGTTCCCTCTTGAAGATTTTTCTTGTTCTTGTTGTTATGTTCTATCAATTCAGAACCAACTGACTCATAGCTGACCCTCCAGTGGGTTTTCAGAGGCCATCATTCCCAAGAGAGATTGCCCATCTTTGTCCTACTGAACATTTGGTGGATTCTACCACCTGCCTTTGGGTTGGCAGCTCAATTCCTTACCCACTAGGCCATAGAAGCCCATAAAAATATCACATTTCTTGTCACCATCTCTACCAAAGTTCCTTTCATCTTGTGTTGCCACTCATAAAGAATAGTGTGATTGTGGCATGCACCAGCGTGAAGGATCTGGCAGGGAGGCACACAGACAAATACGGTACATTTCACCACTGTTAGACTTTCTGTAAGTTCATGGTAACTTCCCAGCACTTCTTTGTGGAAATAGAGCTTCATGTACATCAACTAAAGTGCATGTAGAGTAAAGACATGTCTTTTGGTTGCTTGTGGTGAGAGTGCGATAGAAGTTAGAAATCACTAAAAAAAATTTTAATTAAGAACTTCTTACTTTCTGGCAAAACACTTTTAAACTTTTTCACCGACTAGGTATTCTAATGGAAGAGGATCATAATGAACCTCCTGTAGCCAATCCATTTAGTGAACCATGCTAAATAAATATGTTGATTTATAGTAATAACATGAGGAAAGCTGGGATGCTTTCTGTAGCTTTAATGATTTTTGTTAGCTGTGGTGTTTTCAATGGACTACAGTTTTTTATTATTCATAATTTTTAAATGAGAAAGCTTTTATGCTAAGAAAGTCTAGTGGCTTTATTTAGCTTCTGATAGAATAGGGATATATATA